TTTTATTAGGGTTTAGGGGTTTAGGCATCGGAGCGGCCTCTAGATGGATCCCTAAAAAATCCTATTTTTTTACGAGCCCCGACCTCTGATGAATCAGATCCTCAAATTGAAAAACCCTGAGTCTAAGTCTAAATCCCAGAAGCCCTCTTAACTCGTCTAGACCCGGAAAACTCCAAACCGTGCCATCCCAAACACCCTCTACGCAAACCCCTCGAGACTTCCCATCCGAAGCTCTATAACACCTGATCTGAACCCATAGGCTCCATAGTAGTTCCTTTTGGGGGCTCATATATAGGATCCTATAAGGTAATCCCAAAAAGGAACTACTTTGGAGCCTATGGGAAGAATCTGTAGCCTCCAACCCGAGCTCTCCACGCTTAGCAGTCCAGGGGCCACCCGCGCAGAATACTGCGAGGGCTCCGCGGGGAGCGGCGTAAGCTCCATGGAAGAGCGAGGGACCTCCTGGGACGACTTGGAGGCCAGAGTTGAAGGTCTAATGGGTGCTGTAAGGGTTACTATACTACGTCGGGCTTGTTTCTTCAGGTGCTTAGGGCATATATAGGCTCTTGGGAGCCAAAAACCGGTTGCAAAAACCAACAGCAAAAGCATCTCTTTCACCCTACTGACATGGAACTCACGAACGGTAAACAGAACTTTCACCCATATGGTGAACTTGCATCGAAACATGCAACAATAACGTGCATCTTACCTTGCATTCCTTGTCCTTGTGCCCCAAACCCATGCAAACCCTAAACCCCACACGCTAAACCCTAAACCCCAAACCCCAAACCCTAAACCCTGAACCCTAAAAGCAACCACAACTCTGAACCCTGAACCCATGATTCGGGCAGAAGCCCCGCAGAGAATAATTTAAGGCCGAGGTGAATGCAAAGAAGGAGCCCCAAAACCCCTAGCACCCACACGGTAGTTGGAGCATAATACGGGATTATTACAAGGATTATTGCCAAGGTATGCCAAGGTTATTGTAAGGATTCTTGGAAGATATTAGAAGGGTCTCGTACTATTTTGGAGCTTTTAAAGGGCAAAGGATTGTGTAGGGGCTCAAGGTAGACCCCTGACGATGGAAGCGCTTTCGCTTCTTTCGGGTTGTAACCCACAAGGACAAACCCCTAGTGAAGGAGCGCGGGTTGTCTATCGGGGGTTTGCGTTGTGGGTGTCTCTGAAGTATAGAGGTCTCTTGTCTGGGGTCTCTGCGGAACCATAAGCCTCCAGCCTGTTCTGGGCTTCTCTTGAAAAAGATGTTTCTGGTTGTTGCCCCCCATATTTTGTCTACCTGTTAAGAAGTCGGAAACACCGCTACGATGGGGCCACGGACGCTTTGGGACTTAGGGGTTTAGGATTGTTTAGGCGACCAGAATCGGACGGCCTGCATTTCTGCAACCGCTTGAAAACACTGAAGCCCTGTCAAGTGTATAGGTTGATTCATTGATCTATCCCAGGAACCCCCGCAATAAACCGTGTATGGGGCCTCAGTCGGACTATGAATAGTGGTATCGAGGTTCCGATACTGGGCATCTTTGCTGTTACCTGAGCCCGAAGCGCACAGCGAATTGTGGTACCCCTAACCCTCCAGGTACCTACTATATAGGGCCCTACCAGCTCTAGTACCCTATATAGTAGGTACCTGGGGGGTTAGGGTACGTTACAGCAAAGCCCAATCAACCCTGCCTTTGCGCCGTTCGCATCTTTGCTTGAACTCCGCGCTGCGCCTCGACAGGTTCCTACGTACTGATTTGGGGGTTTCCGAAAATAGGGGACCCTAATATAGTACCCTTAATAGTAGGATCCTTAGTATAAGGGCCCCACAATAAGGTACCCCTAATTTTCGGAAAGTCCCATTTGCCTACTACTTTGTGCTGTCCCTCAGCCACACATGACATGTTATGTGGTGCTCGACGTTGCAATTCGAATGCCAAGCCCTGATAAGCAGTGCTTGAGGGTTTTGCTGGAGTCACCCGTGCACGGCAGAAGCAGGGACTATCACCTGGGTCAACTCATACCAGTGCATTTAGGCTGTTTAGGCTTTAATGTTGTCCCGGGTCAGCTGGGCTCAGGCTGGGCATTGATTCATTATGGTTCCGGGATGCGGGACAGGCTCACACAAGGTGTCCGAAACACGTCGGAAGAAAACGAGGTGAAGGATTTTGGGTCCTTGGGGGTTGTTACCCCCGGCCTTTGTATGGAAGGGCTTCTGGGATCAAGATTCGGTAGCCAAGAGACGAGAGTCGACAAGAGAAGGAACGATGTTCCCTAAAAGCTCAGACCCTGAACCCTAAACCGCGCCCTATAAACTTCTTCTAGCCGTATCAAACCCTACAAGCCCCGTGAGACCCAAACCCCTTCAAAGGGAAGAGATGCTTCTTCATGACCCTCCTTCGATGCCACACCCAGACCTTCGATACCAGAGACGCCTTACCAGTTATCTAATTCATTACAATAAGGTCGGAATTGGGTTCTGTTCCTTCAAAGGCTTACTAGAAGGATTGTACATGGAATTAGCCGTGGTTTGGGGTCTCGGGGCCTTGACGTGGTTTGGAGCATGTTATGCTGTTATGTTGGGGCTGTAACAGGATGCTGCTGCAAACTACTCACATCCCAATATTAGCCCAATCTTACAGGTCAATATCTGGGGCTGGGTTTCTGGGCCGATAGAAATTGGCAGGTTGGTGTTTCGGTCAGTTTACGACTAATACCGTATTTGCACCTTTGAGGGCTTGGCCTCGCGCCTAGTATCTGTAAAGGGGTAAACGCTCACAGCGCTGCAGATGAGGGGCCTTCGCCACACAGAGCATCCAACTTCTTTTCTATCCTGGCAAAAGGTTTCACAGTCCTTAAACACTAAAACCCTGAACCCCACACCTTGAACCATAAAATCCATAAAATCTAAACCCTAAACCCAACTTCAGTTCTCCGGTTTTAGGGCTTGGTCAACTCAAACCGGGGATTACCAGGCCATTGGATACTTACTTGGAGGATCGGGAGACGTACTAAGCTGAGCTTTTGCTCAAGTACGCTTTTGATTCTTGCCATGTTCACTTGTGTATACACAGACCCTAATCGCCTAAGCCTAAGCCCCAACACCTAAAACTCAACAACACCAACCCCAAGACCCCAAAGATCTCACGACCCTAACCCACCACCCCCCCTCAAAAAGAGGCAAACCCCAAAGATGTGGAGCTACCTCCGGGCTTTCTCTGCGATGCCCTTCTAAGCAACTGGAGGCGGGTGGAAGAAGCCTAAGCTCTTCGTTCCAAAGGCCCTGAACAGGAAATCAGACAAAACAGCGAAGAACCTTCAACATGCCGGGTACCTGGCTGAAACAACTCAACTCTACAAGTCCTCAAGCACCAGCAAAAAAATACATTCTTACGCATACTATAGAGGCCTTAATAATTAGAATAGGGTTTTCGGGCCCATTATACTAACTATAATAAGGAACCCCCAAAACCCTAGTCTAATTATTAAGGCGCCTACGTTACCCTCTCCCTCGGAGAAGAAACACATTTGCAAAGTCCCTGCTGCTCGAGTAAGAAGCCAGCCGCAGAGCCGCGAAGCAGTTCACATTCCATGTATAGCGGTACGAGAAATGTAGGGGCCTTAATAATTAGAATAGGGTTTTGGGGCCCGTTATACTATACTTATAATAAGGAAGCCCCTAAAATAGTATAGGTAATTATTCAGGCCCCTATATTTGAGTGTGCTGGGCTTAGAAAGGCTTTACTGTATTAAGGTTTAAAAAGGGGAGGTTAGGGTTCAGGGCTCAAAGCTAAGTCGTCAGAGCGATTAGGGGTTCATGGTTCCAGGCTCGGGGTTTGGAGATTCAGGGAAAACCGAAACTCTCCGCATGTTTTGGAACGCTTCGCAGGGTGCTGCTTCGAACATCTGTGTGGTCTTGCACAAGTGAGCGGACGGCTGATTGGACCAAGAAGCAAGTTTTATGTGGACTCTCAAATGCGGAGGTTAATCGGTCTCTTTTTCCAAGCTCTAGACCTTTACACCTGGGGGCGAAAGAGCTTTGGGGTTGAGAAACTGCAGAACCCACGACAGAGATCCGATACGAAGGCTCGTCCATCGTCCGTCGTCGCAGGAACGGGCCCCCAGAAAGATCCAAGAAACAGAAGCCGGGATCAGTTGTCGTGTGGGGGGGATGTGGTTTTGGACGGAGGTGTTGCGAGGATAGGGTTTAGGGTTGTGGGTCGAAGGTTTGGGTTCAGAAATGATTTAATAAGCTTCGCATGGACACCACGCAGAACCTACTTTCTTGGGGTTGATGCCTCTGGTGCTTTCGTGCTCTATACCAACCAACGGAAATCATCAAATAACTGGAATAGGGTGTTGAAGGTAGTCTACTAATCAGGAGCCCAGGTACTCCAGTAATGTGAAAAACTAACTACCCCAAGGGTCCAAGAAGCTAAGTATCATGTACTGCCCAATCTACTAACCTACGGCCGCTACATCTTCAAGCTCCCGAAAACAAATCACCTACAGTTGCTACCAAGTTAATATCTAAGCCCTGACACTTGGGATCCTTTGGCTTCATGGACGGATCTCAGGCAAGACCTCCGTGCGGAGGATCTTGAACCGATCGTTAGCAAGTCGGCGGGACAACTGAAGCACATGGAGGCGATGTCAATACTGGCCAGTGCAACGAAGAAAAAGCCGGCTTAGGGTCTGAGGGTTCGCGTTTAGGCGTCCGAAATCGGAACCTCATTTTGGGTTGCTCCAGAGGACACCAGGTCATTGACAACCCCTCGCCAAGCAAAAGCACTTGATCAAGGCTTCATCCGCCAAAACACAAGCGAAGTCCTGAAAGGACATCGGCCGTGGTTGGGAAAAAAGAGAAGGGGCAGCGACTATTGTACATAGTTTAGAGTTTAGATTGCCAGCTCAGGCTTTCCGGAACAAAGCCAAGCTATGCAGTTGGTCGCTCAACATCAGTTCAACGGAAATTCCGCCACCAGAAAAAGCGCCAGTGAGGCTCAAGTAAATGACTTCGACCTTGAGAAGGCCATCCGTGGCTTCGGCTTCGGTGTTGGTGCTACCTTCACCACGCGCGTGAGGGACCGGCTGGACCGAGGGGCCTCTGGATAGAACCTGACATCGCCGTTTGTTGCAGAGGACGCGGGGCCTTAGGGTTTAGGGTTTAGGGCCTTCGGGTTTAGGGCTTAGGGTTTAGGGCCTTATGGTTTAGTGTTTAGAGGGTTTATGCTAGACGGCACATCCGAAGCACAAGCCAGATCAAGCAACACAGCCACCTGCAACAAGTACTGAATGGTGACGTAGCTGCGTCAAGTCTCCCTGAGTCCTGTAGACTAGAGACTAGCGGTTCAAAGGGTGGCCTTGTAGTCCCCGAACAAGTAAGCCCTGTCAATCAAACACGCACGTATGTGTCTGATATGTCAGATCGAGCATTAGCCCACAGTAGAAGTAGAATCCCCAACTACAAGGAACTCGTGATGCGCAGGGAGGTTGGGAGAGGTTTAGGGACTGAGCCTTCGGATTTAGGATGGGGGACAAAAGCATGAAGCTTTCAGTTTAATGAGGAGCCAGCAACGCTGATGTGGTGCTTTGCTTGCAAAGAATGGCTTTGGCCTGCCGGTCGTCTTCCTTTAAGGGCTCGGCGAGGAATGCTTTCGCCAGCCGCCAGGCCATCCAGAATCGCACCAAAAAGAAGCAATGCATGAGGAACCAGGTCCCACAGAAGCAGCATGCGGCTATAAGCTCAACAGTCTCAGGGCTGCTCCTTACACTCGTAATGATGCCTACCCAGAAGACCATGACAATGACCAGCCAGATGCAGCACAGGGAATGCTCGTCCAAGATTGTGAAATACCCAATACGAGGCCTGATAGAGAAAAGCACTCCAGAACCTAGATACTCGTGAATAACTCCAGCTAAAAAACCAGCAAACTCCTGAACCGGAAAGCCCCAACCATCAACACGCTAAACCCGAAAGAACAGAACAACTAGACATCGCGCCTCTGGAATTTTAACAGTGGGGCCTTAAGTAAAGAAGGCAGAGTATGGAGGATGCATCCAGGGCTTCCCCATTCTGTGGCTTGCTTTGCGAACGTATGGCTTCAAACTGCAGCCAACAGCCCTAGAGCCTATTCCTCAGAAGCCGAAACCCCCTAAATCGGTAATACCAGCAAACAAGCCCTAAAGAGCTCAGCTTTTGGAGACCAGAACGGCCGACCATGATAACGGTTGGAAGTGCGATGAGAGAAGTTGTCCTACTGAAAACTAACCCACTTACATTCCAATGTTCCCTGAACCTGTACACCCTGTCTATTTAGGATCAAGGCTTAGGGCTGTACTTCACAACCTTGAAGCTCCGAGTGTCCTGAGTGATGCGGAGAACTGGTAGTAGGAGGCGCAAACCAGCAGCAAGGTCAAGGAAATTCCCGCACGTTCGGCTACCTGACTCTTCATCCCTCTTCCCCTTCGCCCTCAGCATAATCATAAGGTAAACGTAATCGACTTCATCATCAGCTTGCGCCGCTGCCCCGGATGACATTGAAACTCTAAATCACGTAAGCCCTGAACCCTGAAACGCTTCATCCCTAAGCCCTATATAAATAAATCTTGAAACCCCAAAAGCCTTAATCCCTAAACCCTCTAACTGCTCTACCTTGGAAACAGATACCTGCTTTTTCGGAACAGGGTCAAAGAATCTGATCAGTGGCTGAAAAAAACGTATTCGTCCCACCTGCTTAGCTGTCGGGTACCAAAGTCTGACAGTCTTGAAGCTTCCAAGGCAAAGAACGCCCACAGAGATCATGCAAAACCAACACGCTGAAATGTTGAGCCAACGAGGATGCCCGAGGCCATGGAGCGGTAAAGAATGTTGCCGTACCCTTGTGTGGGCCTAAATAACTACAAAGGGGTGTTGGGATATAACATATGGTTAGTTATACCAAGGAACCTGTTGAAATACTGGCCCCTATATTGCAGACAGAACACTGGGCATGTCCGCCAACACCAAAAAATCCTTCCAAAATCGAAGCTCGACACCCCGAGTTCAGCCTTACGGGCGACAAACAATCTAAACCTTGTTTATGATTCTGAAAGCCTGAACCACAAACTTCAAAACCCAAACCAGGAACACTCAACCCACACCTTGTCCAAGCTCACGAAGAACTGTACGCCGGCCATCAAAGCAAAGAGCATGTTGGGCAGGGAGACATTCACGAGGTAAAAGAAGGGCTTCCGCTGGACGAAGCAGGAAAACTGCACATGCTGATAGGTCCTCGAGATGTGCCGCACGATACAATGTAACGCCTTCACTAATTAAACACCCAAACCCAAACACGCCTGAGCCTAAAACCCCACATCCCAAATTGCCCTGAATCTATACTGCAAACTCCAGATCGAAAGCTTTAGGACGGAATCTTTGAGGTTGCAAGGGCAATTCATGTGACGAGGACACTGTGTGTGAGCTCATCGTCCGGGACAAATTAATGCTCCATGAAGATTGTATTTGTGAACAAACGGGACATGTGTTCCACCGGTCCTGGTGGGCAACACGCGGCGCTCGCGTACAGCAATACTGACCATTTTTCCCAGCATGTACTCATTGTCCCATATGAAATGGGCATCGTTGACATCACAGTTGTCAGTTTTCTCTGCCGAAATATTCACGGGCCAGCGTCCCTGATTCGCGAGCTGGAACTCCACCTTGACCGATTTGCAGCTTCATACAACAGCGGACCCGGAGATGGAACCCTTACCCCCCAATTCTTTAAAAGCTACACCTTGACAGACAAATCTTGAATGTCGAAAGGAAACTTGGCGCATTCGAACCTTTGCAGGAAAACGCCGTGGACCTCAATGGAAAAACGTAAGTCCTTGCCATCCTCGACCAGCTTGTTGACCAGGACAACCGGGGGCTCTGCAGCATTCATCCACGAAACGTGCTGGGTGTAGAACCTGCGTCAGATGGCCCTCAACCCCATAACCCTGCAATTCACCTTCAGGTCTTACCAACTTGGGGGATCCCCAAACACATTCCGGCCAGGGGCGGGGACTCCACATGTTTTGCGGAACAACGGCTCTGTAAAATGGATGGCAGCCGTACGTTTTTTGAGGACCAAGCCCTCCATGACACCTGAAAAGCCTTCAAGATTGTGTGCTTGGCCTGGCTGTCGGGGAAACGAAGCTGGACAAAACGCCGGCTGCTGAACATTCCCGGGCTGCGAATCTTCGGTTTTCCAATGACTTTCGGAACAGTAGTGGCCGCATAAAGTCGCATCTAGACCCCACGGTTAAATCTTCTCTACATAGGCGGGCCAAAACGATTATCAAACCTTTGAAAGCAATAGCCAGACTAGGGTAGGTTTCAGCATGTGTTGACTGAATTTCAATGATGTGTTTGCTTCTGTACGCCATGTGTTGCCAGAAGCCCCTGGACCCTGAACCCCAAGCTATGCGCTCGCTTAAAACCCTACGTAGGTTTCCAGACACCCGCCTAGCCGGCGCACCACCCCCATCTTTCGGCTTCCAGCTCGTCTTCTCCTCGTCCATATCCTCGTGCCGAGGTCTTCGGCAGGAGCGTAATTAATTACAATCACAAGTCTCAGACTATCTGAACATGTCTTCGGAGTCCCAAAACATGTGTGTATATATATATATATATTTATTTATATGTATATAGATAGATTTAGTGTGTGTACTATTCTTCTTATTGCTAAGGATGTCTAAGTTTAAGTGCCTTCAAACGTGAGGATTTCAAAACGCTCAAGGGTCGAAATGAATTGGCGACCGTAAGATGGAATCAGAGTGAGGAATGTTCCTTGAGTTTAGACGAAGTTCCTTGACACGAACCTAGCCCTGTTAGCTTCAGGGTTCTCGTTTATGGGGGTCACAGAGCTCGCTTTCGGCAGAGTGGAGTTTGCTTTGTTGTTTCGGCTCCTTGGTTTTAAAAGGTCGGTCGAATCGGGTTTGGGTTTAGGGTTTAGGGCCTAGGGTTTAGGGTCCGTTTAGGGTTAAAACCCAAAACCTACCTCAAACCCTGGCGCCTAAACCGTAAACGCACTATTCAGAAAACCCCGCACCAACTCTACATACACCCCATGAAACCCAGTAGCTCTAAGCAGGCAGAGATGAATGTAGAAGCCCGAAAAAAATCATAGATGATACCCTTATACTTCCTACATCATAATACTTTATCTATATCCCGGAACCCTGCTCTAAGTCTTAAGGCCCCTACTTTACACCCTACAAACCCCATTCTAGATACTGTTACCGGGACCCTTGCAGTAACCCTATTGGAAGTCTTGGCAACCCTTACCGTATGTTATAGAACCCTTACATATACCGAACCCTTTCAAAGGAACTCTTCTAAATCCCTTATCAAACCCTTTCAAAGCGAAGCCATATATGGAACCCTTCCAGCGGAACTCTCATTAGAACCCTTATCGAACCCTGTAAAAGGAACCCTATTCCAAGTACTTTAAACCCTAAACCCTAAACCCAACACCCCAAACCCTAAACCCCAACAAAAACCCTGAACCCTAAACCCTAAACCGTCATAGAGGTGTGGTGTCCGCCTTCAAGAGCTCTGCGTCCAGGGCGGCATCGCCCAGAAGGAATTCAAAGTACAGTCGCGCTGTGAAGGTCTGGCCCACGAGATCCTGGGGTTCGGTTTAGACCCGGTTTAGGGCTGCGGGAGTTCAGGGTTTAGGGCTTGGGGAGTTTAGGGTTTAGGGTTTAGGGCTTAGGGAGTTTAGAGTTTAGGGTTTAGGGAGTTTAGGGTGACGAGTACGGGGTTAGGGCCTAAGGTTTATAGGGTGACTACCTATAGGGATGGGTTTAGGGTTTGGGGTGACGAGTAAGGGTTTAGGGCCAAGGGTTTAGGGTGACTAGCTACAAAGATGACTCTAAGGGGTCATATAAGGGCCAGTACAAGTGCTAAGGGTTCGGTGTAAGGGTTCAGGGGTTCAGGGTTAAGATGGTTTGGGGGTTTAGTGTTCAGGGTGATCAACATTGGTGTCCCATGTCTTATGTTAACCTTCAAGGCACGTTGAAATTTAAGTTTGTAGATTCGGGCTTTGGGAAACCACCTGCCGAAACGGTCTACGGCCCCTGCTTTAATAGTGCGTACTTGGGGTAGTCTAGGTGTGGCCCAGAAACAATGGAGCAGATCTGCCGGAACTCCGCCCGAATGAGGTCCAGGCGCAAAGGTTGCGGTGGAGACTCCTTTAGGGCCCCATACATGCAGCCCAATAAGATAGGGATATCCCATATAAACCCCCTTATCATGAAGCCCAATA